AGTGCTTCGTTTTGGGATTGCAGTTCGCCATTTGAATGGCTTCATTGTCAGTGGCAAAAGTGTTGAAATCCATGGACTGCACTCGATGCCATTGTGGCAGCAGTTGACAAGTGGGCTCCACCACACCCACACACACACACCCACACACACCGATTATGTATACATGTTTGTATGCAGCAGCAAACATTACAAAGTCGGTCGCACGCTGCACAGAAGCAACAAAAAAAAAGGACATAAATTTTCTTTTTATTGGCTTGGAGTGTGGTGGGCTGGGCGTGGCTGGCTGTGCGGTTGGGTGGCTCGGGTGGCTGTGTGCCAGTAAGCAAATTCTACATCTACAACAATGGACGGAAATTGAATTGTGAATTATTTGAGCAATGCAGCTGCAGTTCCGGGCCACGACTTCAGTTAGTTTTCTAGGCCGCTGCTCATTACAATTGACAAACTTTATAACCGCTTTGTGCAGCCACAGGAAAGTATCCATAATCAGACTGCGTCTGCACAAATTAAATCATGGCTATAAGCCAGTCGAGTTCCTAATAGAGGAACAAGAGAATTTCCAGCACGAGTAGCAACTGAAGGACAGGTGCTTCAAACGCTGCACCACTAGAGCCACACTTTTGCCGTGCTTTGATTGTGACACAGATAGCAGCAGAAGTTTTTGGCTTTTAGCCAGAAACTTGACGAAGTTTGCTGCAAATAAGCTGAAGTCAACTGTTTGTGGCCTTTGTGCAGTTTTGCTGTTTGGCTTTGTGCTGCCCAGACTTGGATTTATTGTTGTTGCCTTAACTCATTTTACAACCACAACTACACACACATAGGAAGAGGAACACAAAGCAACGACTATGCCTTAAGCTAGGCAGAGACACGGTCAAGGATGTGCCGCCTTTTTGGCATTTCAATTTGGCAACGCACACCACTTAGATGCAATAAACATGAAAAATATGCAGTTAGTCCGACTCGAGGGTGGTTGCGGTCCAGTACGCAGTGTGGCGTGGCGTGGCGTGGGTAGGCCAAACAGGGGCTCAGTCGATTGGCACTGCAATTGATAGCGCTGACCGCACATTGTCTAGTGTTTTGCTTATTTATGGCCACATTAAAACGTGGCCTGACCTCTTATGGCCAAAGTCTTTGACCAAAATTAACGTTTGCTACCAGCTAACAGCCGGTTGGGTCAAGGCGTCACACGTCGCACGTCGCCCTGTGTCCAATTTTGGTCAAGGCGCCGATTGCTGATGTTGCGGTAATTGCCGTTGTTTCGTATGCCACAAAGAAATGCTCATAAACGGTGGGGCATAATGTGCAGGTCGCATAAATTACAGCTCGTATCGCATCAGCACCCCCCGCCCTTGCGTCGCTAGCACCCCCCAGTCGACCATTATGATGTTTTATGAGCAGCTGCCACGCCCACCTGCGGCTAGACGCTTTATGTGCTTTTCAGCGTGCTTTAGGGCGTTACGCATAAATCGAAGGCTTTTAACCCACTCTCGTTGGCTTTTACAGGTCAGCGTGGACGAGTGGTGCAACATGTGGGACGCATACGCCAAGGATCCCAGCAGCGTAATGGACTGGCAGAATACGTACATGAACTTTATGTTCGATTTGGAGGATGCTTCGCATGACGGCGGCATCGATGTGACGGAGTTCACGCTGGTCTGCTCCAGCTATGGCCTGGACAAGAAGGAGTGCGAGGAGGCATTTGCCAAGATGGCCAAGGGCCAGACCGATGTGACTCGCGAGCAGTTTGCCGCCTTGTGGAAGGAGTACTTTGCCGCCGAGGACGCCAATGCGCCCGGCAACTTCATCTTCGGCAAGACCTCGTTCTAACTGCTGTCCGGAAATGCCTGATCGATTATGGCTTCATCACTGATGCTGCAACCAACTAGTAAAATATCAAAATTATTCTATAATTTAAAGCAAAATCAACAGGCAGCTGCAAATTCCATTTCAATTTTGACAATTTGTAGCCCAGTTAACAGTTAGCAGTTAGCAGTTAGCAGTCCCTCAGGCTCTGACGTTGTTTATTAAATGTTGTTATCAACTGTAAACTCAACTTTTGCCCAATTAAATGTTCTAAATTCGTAGCTTAATTAGCTAAATGATAAACGTCTAACTATTTATATTTTATATTCTACATACTAATATATATATATAGTATACGAGTATATATATATATATATATATCTATATATGTATAACTAAATGATATCTCAAAGCTCAATTAGAACAGAATTCGTGTTATCTGTAAACGGAATACTGTTGATGCGTAAATTAAACCAATTAAACTGTCAAATTGTTTTTGTTTGTGTGTGTAGTCGTAGTTTATCGTCCCAATCTCTGGCGTTTAAATATAAATGTAAATGTAAAGTGTTCCAACCAATTACAAACAATAAAAGCTAAACATCTATAACAACGGCACGGCACATTTAATTTGTGGGGCAAGAACCCATTACTTGTTGCTGCTCCACTGGGCGACGCCCCCACTTTGAGTCCTTACGACTACTGCAGCATGGGCACTGCGATAAGATCAGCAATTGGTTGGCAATTTATGAAAATTATAATTTTGTATGGAGCTGCAAATAACCTTCGGCTGCGCTGCATTTGTCGAGCTTGGCTGCACTGCGCAGCGATTTACTGGTCCAATGGGGCGGCTACGTAATTTATGCAGTTGCATGTGTATAGAAGCACTTGCTGTGGTCTTCGACCGCAACGAGCACAGCAGACACGAGAGCTTTGCGGTTAGGTCCTAGCAACTCCAAAAGGAAGTTGCTGCTTGCTTGAAAATAACGGCAAAAGCTTGTTCGCCAAAAGCTGTGCATGCAAAGCTTTGCAGGAGCGAGCTTTTACAGTGGCTTGCCAGATATTCGCGTAACATTTTCCAACCAGGTGGCAGCACTGCGCAGAGCTGAGAAGGTTACGCTCGACATTGCATCGCGCTCTCTGCGCATCAGCAACGGCAACTTTTGAAGTTCGCGCTTTTTGCTGGATTTAAAAGGGAATTTCTTGAAGAGATTATGTGTGTGGGCTAGATTTTTGGCAGAGTACTTTATTTCTGTTTCCTAAAGTTATAAGTGATAGAACTAAAATGCATATAGCAATTAAATATATATTAAAATTCCTAGAGTCTAAGGGGAATTTGGCACCCAAATATAGCATCAGATAACAGTCAAATCGAGAGCACATCTTAAATAAATTTGTTGTGAGTTCCATTCGGTTTAAGTTTTCTTTTATTGAAATTTACTAATATAGTTTGATATTTATAATTTCAAGACATCGACTACTGGCCCCTGCCATGCAGTAACTGGAATTGTTGCTAATTAACCCAGACTAAAAGTATGCAAGGGAAATTTTATGCCCATTGTGGCATGCAGCGAAATCTTTAACTACCAAACTCATTGAGCACCTGTTTGCAGTGCTGTTCGCCTAGTCTATCAGCTGCATTTGTACAGAAATTTAGTGATTCCGCTTGGATACATTATCGCCGATGATTCACGTAAAGAATGAAAATATCGCTTAAGTGCAATGTACATCTAATATTTTTATATATATATTTAGTACAAAAAATATTTTGCTGTATCCAGAACTAAGTTCGTCCAACCCCTAAGAACCTTGCATTGTGATCCGACTGATTCACATCTGCTACTTCTTTTACTATTAGCTCAAAGTTTATGAATTACGACTTAACAGCCTTTTTTACTAACAATATATTGGATTCTCGAATCCCGCTGCATCATCATTATTGATATGCCGGCCCTGAGTTACGAAACTGGAATACAAAGTGAACTGAGCTAACAGGCGAACAGAAAAACCAGTTAGTTGTCCAAAAAGCGAAATGTGCTGAAAATGCGTGGCAGCTGATGATCGCAAATTTCTGTTGCATACTTTCACAGTCAACTGCAGCAGCCTCTCATGCCACCTACTAGGGCTTCGATCTGAAAGAGAAATGACTGCTGAACTCCTTAAATACCTTTTCAATTAATATAATGTAACAATTCTTATGATGAACGATTTCATTTGAGGAGAATATGGATATATGGATATCGGAATGTCTTAATAGAAAAGTCAGTCAGTTACTTTAGGCTCATAAAGATCGAAGAATATGTTTTGATGTTTTGTCTTTCACATATCATAATCAATATTTATATATATGTATCTCTTGAGAGTGAAGCAGATATAAGGCTATGATCACAACACACACAACAATCTGATCATTGTAGACCTTCACTACCAAAGGCACCTATAATGTCAAAATTGTCAATATATAAATAATTTTAGCCGTTTCTGTAAGGGAATTCCACATACATACCATTCAACTTGATATGTATATAGGTAAATAGAACTCGCAGGAATCCCTTTCAATAGTTTATTATTTTCAATGTGAACTCATAGTAATTTCTTTGAAAACTTTTTATATTAAAACACATTTTACTTAAGTTTATTATTTTATACAATTTATTGTTTAGGAAAAAGGTAAAGCCATAAATATAATAGCTATTTTTATAAAATTTGTATATATATATATAAATATTTAATTATTTATTTTATTAATATTCTGATTCGTTGCTTAGAGTAATAGAAAACGTAGTAGAAATAGCAGTAGTATAGTATAGTATAGTAGTAGTAGTAGATACAACGTTACAATTTAAATAGTTATCTGTATATAGATATATATATATATAAGAATACATATATACGTCAGCATGTGGGTGTGCGTGTAAATTAGGACTACAAATAAGTGTAATATTTGTGATTTGTGGTTAGAACTTGAGTTGCAGAAGCAACTTTGCTGTTCTCAAAGATTTTGGCACATATGTACGTTTGAATGATATGTTCTATCATAGCATTGATCGATTTCTATATTAACAATAACAAATTACTAAAATTAAGACCAAAGCGCTTAGATTCGTCTGGATATTGCAGAGCCACGTCCACGACCAAAGCTGAGGCGGGGCGGAGAACGCGTTTGCAGCTGAGGCAATTAGTTTTTTGTTTTTGTGTGCTGCAGCGCGTTCAGCTCGTCCTTGAGCCACGTCTGCCAGTTCTCCTGCTAGGGGCGAAACATATATGTATACCAAAAATGGCCAATTTTGTTACCAAAACAAAAAAAAGGAATGAAACAAAGCCAAGTGTATGTTTCAGCCAGAAATACCAACACCAAGCGAAGCCAGTTACGTTCGATATGTAGCTACGTGTACAGCATTGTAGGTGTGCTCTGTGTGAGTGTGTGTGTTAGAGTGAGGAGTGTGTATGCTAATAGAATCTACTACAGTTAGCCATTAGGGGTAGCAGCCACTCTGCATTGGTTAGCGCTAATTGCATGTGTCAACAGTGAGCGAAACTGAGCCAAGTTAGCAGCGGAAATCGGAAATGCTTAACTAGTCGCCAGTGCGTATATGTCCATCTGCATAAGTGTGTGTGCGTGTGTGTGTGTACGGGTGTGTTTAAGGATCTATTTGCTTTGGTTATGTTTCAGTGTCTGAGTTTGCGTTTGTGTTTGTGTTTGCCCTTTCTCGCTTTTGGGCTTGGCTGTTTCCGTTTTTAGTCATTGTTATGTAAATGTTCCTGATATTCATCATATTCGTTTTCATTATCCTCCGGCTGGTCCTCTTCGTCGTCCTCCTCCTGTTCATAATCGCTGGCATTGCTCTCCGGCTGTGTTACATCCGGCAAGTAATCCTTGTGCATGGGCGTTGAGACGATAGGCTCCTGTGCCATGTGCCATGTGCCGTATGTTCGTTCGGTGAGTGTGTGTGCGTGTGTGCGTATTAGTGTGCAAAAGCAAAAGTTAGTTAAACGAGTTAGTCAGAAAAACAACAAAGGCAACAAAAACAACAAAGCGAAATACGTAGTATAACTGGGCAGTGGCGCATGCAAAGTTCCACGTTTTAGTTTAGCCAATTAGAAAGTGAAATATTTTCGCTTGTTCAAACGCATGCTAACCTTTGGCGGACGCCAGCCGCAGCCAGGCAACGGCAGTCCGTCCACGCCCAGCGGACAGGGCGCATCCAGCCCGGGCACGCCCTGTTCGCCCTTGTCGCCGCGATCTCCTTTACGTCCGCGCTTACCCGGCGGCCCAGCATCGCCGCGTGAGCCCTGCTCGCCACGCGGACCCTCCTGCCCGGGTATACCGTCGGTGCCCTTTGTCGTCGTATGTGTGTGTATGTATAAGTGTGTGTGTTGGTGTGCGTGTGTGTGTATGTGTGTGTGTGTGTGTGTATGTGTGTGTGTGGGTCAAAAAGGTTGATACGTGTGTGGAAGGTTTTTGCATAGATTGAAGACAGTGTACGACGCCAACAAAGAGAGAGAGTTGCATGCAGACAAGATAAAAAAAACATAATAAAAAGAAGAAACACATATTATTCAAATTAGCAACCAAATAAGGTAGATAAACATATATGTATGTGTGTGTGTGAGAGTGTGAGTGTATAGATACATATGTACTACATATAATCAGAGAATTGTCTGTGTGTGTGTGGCTTTACTTACCGGCAACCCTGGATCTCCGCGCTCGCCCTTGTGTCCCGTCTCGCCCTGTGCGCCCTGCAAACAAAGATTTCAGTTAGACAAGGCCAAAAATCCAAGCTGACAGTTAATGTACCTTCATGCCATCCAAGCCAGGCGGACCCTGCATAGAATGAGAGTGAGAGAGATGGGGGAACAGAGAGAGAGAGAGAGAGAGAGGAAAAGCGTTAACAATTGCTTGAGTGAAAGTCGAAAATCTTAACCCAATTTTCGCTGATGTTTGCCCTCTTCCTTCAAAGTTGTATTTACAAATTAGTGTAAACTGGATGTAGTTTGTTTTTTAGTAAAAAACCATCACTTTATTGAAAATGCATAATTAAGATGAAAATGATATTGGTTTCATTAGCCGCTTTACAATTTGTTGCCAAGGCGTTGCCTTTGCTCGGATTAGCGCGAGATGCTCGTAATACTCGTTATGTATTTTGTGAATTATGTCGATTGGCAGACATGCATACATATATAATCTCTCTATGTATATAGACATTAATACACTCAATTACATACGTACATTTATAGATATATATATGACAGATATATATATCAATATATATATATATATATATGTTTTGTTATTTAATTGCAATAATTGGTTTTCATTTTGGTTTTTTTTTCTGTTTTTTTTTTAGTACGTAATTAACGAATGTACACTTACAATTACCGTTAGCAGCTTATGAAGTTAATGTTCAAATTGAAATTGAATAATATAAATTCAAAGTTTGTAAAATTTAAATTTAAATTTAATTTAAGTTAGATGTAATGCTCGCATTGCCGTTAGAACAACATATTGCTAGGGACAGACAATTCATTATTCTAGCCTAGGCATATATAATATGAGACTGGTTAGTTAGAGTTAGGATTGAGAGGGTCAAAGAGGTCAAAGTCGAGTAGAGTTAATAGTGTGAAAATTGGAGTTAAGCGCAATTAGAACTATGCTGCATTAAATATATCAATATAAATATCTTCTTAGTTGACATTTCGTTTTGTTATTTATCTATATACACCTTCAGGTTGGCCAAATCAAAATTGACATGCGAAACTGGTTTGGCTGGCGACGTTGTCGGTTCGCCTTTCCTCATTTAGCGACACACTTAATTGAAAACAAATTGACATATAAATATTCATTTGAAATTGTCCAACACATATTTGAAGCTTCTATTCATAACATGCATATGAATCGGAAATCTTTATTAATTTTTTGTCTATTTTCCATTTATGCAAATGCAGGGCAAGTTTTATCATAGTTCAACGTATCATAGATTTCATTTGCTTTTCCTTTTTCTTTTTTTTTGCACTTTATTTTGTTTTATTATTAATTTTTTTAGCCATTGACTGTTGTTTTAGTTGATATCGCATGCTCGTAATTTATTTATAAAATGTAAATTGTTTTTCATTTTTGTTTTTTGTGTTTGTGTTTGTGATGTGCATTCTGTGTACTCGTTGAGATTGAAAGGTAGATTTGCATTAATTTATTTGAGATGTTCAATGAAACCAATAGGATATATGAGATAAGTTAATTGTTAATGATATTCTCAGTGGCTGAGCACGAATCTGAATGCACTACAAACTGCTATAGGTTGGAGACTATTTGGGTTGGGATATTATTCTGAGGCCGCTTTGTTGTTCACCGGCCCAGCCGATGCAACTGCAGATGCTTTATTGTGCACACATATTCCAATTTTCAATATATATATATATATTATTTGTTGGAGTAGGTATATTTAAATTGTAGCCTAGCTAATTTCAACGCCTTTTGTATTGAAGTTACATTTAACACTGAAAATATGCACAATTGGAAGATAGCTCTTTGTTGTTATGATATTACAATTATTTATGGAGATTCGTTATTCATTACATATATATATATATATATCTATATGTATATATATATATATTGAACAGTTATGCTTTGTTCTGTAGACATAAAACACACATATTTAAACACGATATTCTATACGCAAACATTGAGTCGAATTTCAAAGATTTATATATAGATTTTGTTTTTTTTTTTACAGTTTTACTTATGTTATTTAAAAATTGTGAGTAGTTAGAGTATTTAAATTGTCTGCTGTTTCTTTTTTGTCAAGCACTGAAGCTTTGGCCACCCAATAAATTGAATATACGACAAAACCTCTGGACGGCACCTAAGATAATGCGACAGCAGCAGCAGCAGCAGTGGCAGCAACAGTACTCTAAATTTATATGGACAATGAAATTTATTGATCAATCGAAAAAGCTACTGGCAGCTCGAATTAGGCTGTTGCATCTGGCGTATTGCAGTCCGAGTTTATGTTACTTTCATGTGGCACGGTGCGTATGATTTATGCAACAGTTGTTGCTGCTGCTGCGGCTGCTGCTGCCATTGTTGGCTCTGGCTTAAATGTACTCGCAAATGCGAACAGCACAGCGTCAAATGAAATGCAATTAAAATATTTGCATTGCCCATTTGTTAGCAGGTTGTTAGCTTTAGTTGTTTGCAGAGTTCTCTGTTTGCCCCATCTCGTATATACATACTTAAATACTCAATTTACTGGCTTGATTCAATTGATATTTGTAAATATGTTCGATCGCGAAATAACTATTTCCTTTGTATACATAAATATTTGTGTGGCCTGCTGCTTTGTTAAGTTTCATGTTTGATATGAATACTGTTCTTCATATATCAATAAATTATTTGAGTTTACTTTATTAATTTTTTAATTAAGAAATTAATTTGCATGCGATCTCCTCGTTTTGTGAGTGGCATGCGGCTGATATTTGATACTGGGTTTCACATGTATTATGTACATGGGCGCTTGGTATGTACATACATATACACAGAGCTATATATGACTATATAGATAGACATTAAAACTGAGCGGCTTGTCAGAGCGCTAACACTTTCTATGCATATTTAAATATTCTTTTTTCTTTTCATTTATAATTTCTTCCTTAGAGTTCAGCGTTTTAACTGTGCGCCTCCTGTGCGTTGGTGTGTGTATGTGTGTGTGGGTGAGAGTGTGTGTGTGTGTGAGTATCGCATTTTACTGGAAAGTAGGCGCAATATGTTTGTTATTTGTATTTAGACTGCACTTTTGAGTAAGTTGTATTAGTAGTCGCCCCACACCTGTTCCAGGTAGATGAAAGAGAGAAGGAGAAACACAAGAACACATAAGAAAATGTTAGAGAATTGTTTAGTCACAGCAAAGTTTTTAGCACAAAAATTACCAAACTAAGATGATCAACAACAAATTTTGTAGCAACATAAAAGCCAAACAATCAATTTTTAGTACGCCAATAAAAGGAAGTCATATCAAAGGAGCCCTTAAACTGTCACTTACCGGAATGCCAGCCTTGCCCGCCGGACCGGAGGGTCCCGATTCGCCACGCATGCCCATTGGACCCTGAAATTAAATTACGAACGTTAGAGACACTTCCAAGAGAAGTATGCAAACGCAGCTACTTACGGGTAAGCCCATGGGTCCTTGATCGCCCTTGTGTCCCTTCTCGCCCTGTGCAGAAGATAAGGGAATTAGCTATGGCTGCCAAGGAACGGCACTTTATATACTTACAGGATCACCCTTGCGGCCGTCCAAGCCACGATCGCCCTGTGCTCCAGTGTGTCCGGGCGGGCCCATGGGACCGGGTGGACCAGGTGGTCCGTAAAGCTGTTATGCAGAAGAAGAAGAAGAGAAGTTAAGGACTTCGTGCTAAGGAGCCTTAGAGACAGCTACTCACATATTCAATTGCAGGCATGTGTGGGGCATCGGCCATGCCATCGTCCTGCCTGCGTCGCATTTTGCGGTACTAAAACGTAATCGATTAATAAATATTGATAAGAGTTATCGATTGCTTGCTACTCACCGAATCGCCGCGGTCGCCCTTGTCGCCCTTGACGCCGGGATAGCCTGGTGGTCCTGGTAAGCCCGGAGGGCCCATTAGACCAGGTGGCCCAATATCGCCACGATCGCCCTTTTCACCGGGCGGTCCCTGGTAGCCAGGCAGGCCAGGTGGGCCTTCAATACCTGGCTCACCCGGTAGGCCATCCAGACCACGTGGACCCAGGGAGCCCGGCTCTCCCGGCTCGCCTGCATCGCCCTTGCTGCCGTCACGTCCATCACGCCCGTCCTTGCCCGCGGCGCCCGGTGGTCCGGGTGGACCGCGCAACAGTGTCACGGGCGGATCGTCATAGTCATCCTCCAGCTTGGCGCCGCCGGGTCCAAATAGCTGCTCAAAGCAAAGGCGAATGCAAATGCGTTTGGGAAATAAGGGGGAGATGGAAGAGAGATATGTTGGCAAATTTAGTGAGAAGATTAATTTATGCCACGTGGCGCCGCCCGAGGCGTTGCACGCGCTCGTTCCACACACCCGCACACGCGCTTTGATGGCGCAACAAAAGCGACGCGTAATACGCTGGCATGATAAAATAAAAACACAAAATAAACTTCGTCCCTTGGGGTGGTTGGGTGGTGCGTGGGTGTGTGCGCTAGCTGCGCTGGTGGTGCGAGCTTTTGGTGGCTGCTGTGCCGCAGTGAAAGTCTTTTGTGTGTGCCTCGAAATTGTGTTAAGTGCAAGTCGGAGCCGAGTCGAAGCTCGCTCCACAGCCGCAAACTTAGACAATGCGAGCATAGAAAAACCTTTAAAATCGGCGAGGCAGGGAGGCTGGTGCGAGGGGGTGAAGAGAGAGGGTGGGTGAGTGAAGCGTGGCTTGGTAGTGCGAGTCGAAAATAAAGTCAAGCAGCGACGTGCTTCAAGTGCGAGTGTGCGAGTGTGTGTGTGTGGGTGTGGCGTGTGTGTTTTGTGCATTGCTCTTTGGCTCTTGCTAGGTTGAGTGCCATTGTGTGGGTGTGTGCTTGTGTGTGTGTTTGTGTGTGGGTATTCATGGGTAGTTCCAAAGTGAAAGATAATGAATTGGTTTTTGGGCGCTTCTCAACAAATTCGAAGCGCATTTTCACGAAGTCAATGACGCAACCAAAAAAGTCACACACACACATCTAGTTGCATTTAGAGGCCATTTGCAGCAGCGAAAAGTATTGGGCGTTAAGACAATCGAATTGAGGCTGCAACAGCCGCCCAGTGGCAGCAACAAAGTCTATTACGCAAATGCTAAAGCCCATAAAAAGCAGCAACAATACAAACAGCTCAAGAAAATGGGAAATGGAAATCGTTTACAAGCGTAGCTCACATGTTGTAGCTGCCGCTTAGAGAAAACCATTCAATAGCGATTGAGAGCTTCAAGAATATTAAGCAACATTGTTGCTCAGAGCGCATAGAGCTTGCTCTCTCTCTCCCTCTCTATGTATGTTTTGCATTTGAAAGTTTTTAATGTCCCAGCTAAGATAACCTTCCATATTACTTGGGCTAACGCATAGAAAATAATTAAATTTTATTACAATTTTTTTTTTGCTCCTGCCTCTTGCTCAATGCTTTTTGTTGCCTGAGGAAGTGCCGTACTTACAGATATTAAAAGGCAGCAGCAACAACAACAGCAATAAGGACAACAATAAGATTGCACAACAATGCAAAACGCTTAACACACACACATACACACACGCACACACACATGGAGCATATGCTTAAGTGATGCTACGAAATGGCGGCCGTTCGCTCGCTCAAATGCACAAAAACAAATGAAATGGCGAAGAGAAAACGGAGACAACCGTAGCAGCAGCAACAATAACAACATGGCAAAACTAAAACGTAAGTTGCTCGCTAGCAGGAGGTAGCTGTGGCAGGAGCAACGACCATGACGCCGTCGTGGCTTACCGCAAATGCAGTTGCCAGCGCACGAGTAACTTTTGCCCCTTTATGCACACTCATATAATGCGCAGCTCATCTGCATGTGTGTGTGTCTGTGTGTGTGTGTGTGTGTGTGCGTGCGTGTGTTTGTGTATGTTTGTCGACGCCCAGCTGGCACTTTGTTGCAAGTTTTACAGTTTTATACAATGTTGCCAAAGACTCTGGGGCTTTCTGCCTTTGGGCTCTACTGAATTTCCGCTTCCGCCTGCCGCTGCGCGCCTTTGTTGGGCTTTTAGTGATTAGTCGTCCATTTGCTTGGCAATTAAAACGCTTGAAATTAAGGCGCACGCTTAACTTATGCCCTGCGTGCGGCATTGGCGATAATGAAGGCTCATTCAGCGGGCTTAAGCGCAACACATTTGCCATCAGCCAGCCAGTCAGTCAGTCAGTCGATAAACAAATGCCAGCGACAAATCAACGACAGCAATAAAAAAGAGACATAGGCAGAAACGTATGGGCGAAGGGTTTAAAGGCTTTAAGGAGCCGCCGGCAACGGCAACGGCAACGGCAACGGCAACGGCAACGGCAGTTGCGATAAATAACATAAATAAAAGATACGAAGCCAAGTGAATTTGGGCAAATGTTTGTTAGCCATTCGCAAGGACGATTCTGATGGCGCAGCTGCCTAACTACGATAAAAACTTCTTGTCTGCTTTTTCGGCAGCCTCTTTCGCTCACTCGATAGCTCTATGACTGTGTGTGTATGTGTATGTGTGTGTGTTTGCATGTATGTGAAATCCATTAGAATGTATCAATATTTGTGCGAGCGCCTCGAGTTGATTTTAATTTGCAACGTATTCAGCAAACATACGCCCACACACACACACACACACGCCCAACCCCCACACACATACATAAATTTAATGCGTTCGCATGCTGTGAGGCATTTCTTTAAATTATTCGCAAATTGTTGTTTTTTATTTGCGCAAACGCTTTTCAATTTCAACTTTGAGTCGAGTAGCAAAAGTTTTCCGCTGCATACTTTCGGGCGCCGGCGATAAGGATATACACAAGAATTTGTTGTAATTGCAAAGTAATTGCCCGGCCATCGCTCGGACGCCGGTCAAGTGTGGCGTGCGCCTGGATATTGGAGTGTTTTCCCAACGTAAATTTCATTGAAATTGCGTAGGTAAAGGCAGACAAATGGCCGCACGTAAACGCGTTAAATTGAAAATCATTTTGATCTCGACCGCGCGACCTTTTCCTGCGACACTGGCTGCTGCCGCAGCGAGGCGTGGCCAACGCCCACGTTCGTGCTCAAGTACAGCCATATGCCGCAGCCAGCGAGCTGTCCATGCCATCTGTCAGTTAGTGTGTGCGTGCGCGCATATTTTTGCCATTTCTTTCACTTTTTTATGGCTGTTTCCTTTAGAAATTTCATAGCCACGGCAACCGCAGCTAAAGCAGCAGCAGCAGCAACAACAACAACAGCCGAACACCGCCCGAGGTGAAAGTTTTGTAGCTCGTTTCCGGCTCACACACAGAGCAGCTCCTGCCGCGCGACGCGTCCGGAGTTGGCCCCGCCATGTAATACGTTCCACATCTTTCGCTCTTCACAAAAGTTTACAAGAATCACACAATGCCAGGGAAGTTCTTGGCAAGTACGCGGCCACATTAAATGCGTAATATGTTCCGCTTCACGTCGACAATGGAGCGAAAAGCCAAATTGAACTTGCAATATTTAAGTTGAAAGTCTTAAAGACTCTTAGCATGGAACTTTAGTTATCAAATATTGTTTATTCTTACTAGAACAGGTTTCAAATCAATTTAGTATACTTTTAATTAATTAAAAAACATATATAGAAAAGCAATATTAATGGAGAATTCAACTGAAAGCAGAGAATTGTATGGATTCTCCAAATGAACTTGACACAAAATTGATCTCCTAGGCTTCAAGCAGAGAGTGAACTGCATATTCTAAATACATTTAACTGATATATATATATTTATATATTATATATATATATTATATATATATATATATATTCTCATCAAAGATCAATTTCTGCCTACTCTTTGACAAATGCCGCCCATTGTCTTATGCAGTCAGACGCAAGGAGAAAGTCAAGACGCCCTGTAAAAATTTCGCGTGATTTCATTTTGCCGCTAACATTGTTGCCGACATCGCTGTTGTTGCTGTCCTGATATTGTAATATGCCGGAAATTTGGCAGTATTTAGGGAAATCGTTGCTAAAGATTTCGCCTTTTGCTGCCGCAATCATTCCACAGCTGCGGGGGTGTGCATTATGCCAGTTTGCTGGCTGCAGGCCCCAATGGAAAACAGCCCCACATCAATGCCAAACGCGTGCCTATAAATTTCCAGGACTTTTCCTCTACCTGTGTGCGTGGGCGAAGCCGTTCATTGGGTGTCGCTAACTTGAGATTTTTATTTGCCAACATACGTAACGTTGCGTGCGCCTGGATTTCTTTATTCAATCGTTTTTGTTGCTCCCACAGCGCCCTCATCATCAGTAGCCATAAAATAAAAGTTACGCACACCCCAGGGGCAACATTACATGCCACACACGCGCACGCTCGCACGCACACACGCACACACATAAAGACAGTTACTTCAACACCCGCTGTGGCATGCTTGACCAACTTTGTTGGGCTTCATATTCAATATGGTTAGACATATGAGCACTGACCACAAATAATTGCCATAGTAGCAAATCGGAAAATTGCGCAAATAGAAAAGAAAGGAAAAACTTTGGAAATTTGCATGCTGCGCAGTTTTCAATGAACAATGACGTCACACACACACACACACATAGACTCGATAAGCAACATAGCAGTTGACACAGCATTGCGGGGGCTTATCAAATCGAGCTATAAACCTAACCCAAACCCAAACCCAAACCCAAACCCAAACCGAACTCAACTCAAGTCGAGCAGAAGCAATGAAAATTCAGTCTGAGGCTCTGGGCTGGGCTGGGCTGGTTGAAAGTGCTAAGCTTATTGCGTCGTTTAGCCAACACCCGAAACGAATTGCCGGCAAAAAGACGCCAACGAAGGCGAACCCTTTGAGTGGCAGACATGAAGATATAACAACACACATCCAACAAACAAAGGCACAACACACAAGCAGAAGCACAAGCCCAAGCAGACGCACGCACAGTCGTTTAGATTTTTCACGTAAGCAACTTTAAGGCTTTGATTTGCGAGCAAAAGTGTGAGTGTGTGCGGCAAAGTGTCGCACAGTATCGCCTTCGAGTCGTCAGCGGTGTGCCACATGCTAGCGACTTTCTGGCCAGCAGCTAGGGGCAAAGGACACGGCTCATGTTACCAGGCAACCGAGCCGGGCGTCCTCACATGGGCGTTGTAACGTGTATCTGCAAGTTTTGTTCTCATGTCTCTCCAGGTTTTTGTTTTGTTTTTATTTTTGCGTCAACGGCAATTTTTATGACTCTATTTACCCAAGGCACACGCGACGCACACGAGAAACTTGCCCCATGCTGCTGATAAGAAATGCCAGCTAGAAGCTAGAAGCTAGAAAATTTATGCAGATTTTGAGACTCTAAAGACAACACACACGATGATGTGACATGGACGTGGGCAAGGGCAAGCAACGATTCTAAAATATATTAACATAAATTTGACATAAATGCTTCAAGAACAGTTTTTGACGCAGCGCTTCAGGCAGAAGTTGACGGTGAATAAGTATGTGTGAGTGTGTGTGGCTGTGTGTGTGTGAAATATTGTTTCAACTTTATTAAAAAGAAATGGCAACGCAAATCTAAAACAGCTAAAGCCAAAGCGACAACAGTGCGCATAATAAATGGCAAAGCTCTACGCATCCGCCGCCCGCTGCCACAGTTGGACAGTCATTGGATATTCATTATACGCCCCGTTGCCATTGCTGCTCGCAGCAGCGAAACTCGTCAAAAAGTTTAAAATTAATTTAAATTTTTAATATGCTGCCTGATCGTAAATTGTATATTAGATTTGCCACCACTCAAATATGCAAACACAATATTTGCGTGCGATAAATGAAAGCAGAATTTATGGCGTAGAGTCCATTTGCTGTTGCCCAGGCATATGGCAATAAAACAAATTGAGAGGTGATGAAAATGTCTTAAATACATTTTCACAATATTTACAATTCAATTAAATTCATTTTGATCTTTCACAATGCTCTCGAATGGCAAATTATGAAAGTAGCGCATAGTTCGCTGCCCTTTAAGATTTTTTGCTAAACAGCCAATTCCAAGGCGACATCCAGTCACTATAATATTATAATGAAATCTAAATATATTCAGACTTCTGCATCTGTCAATTTATAAAAAGAATCATTTGTAATTTTTTTTTTACTAAGCAGCTAAGACTACATCACGTATTATAATATAATAAACCAATAAAAATATAATTTATTCTATGGCCGCTTCTATTAAGTTATCTAAAATATATAGCAAATGAAATTCTTGTTAAATTTCTTGAATTCCGAAACATTTTCCTCTAGTTTGTCTCAAAGGGCATTTAATTTGAATTTACACATCAATAACTCATCTGCAGATATTAAATGAATTTTCATATATGTCAACTGGCACATCTGTCGCAATGCTCAGGTTTGTTCGGAGCATAATTCCATCGCATCGCAGCTCATTTAGACTCCCCTACTCCTCTAGCCAGCTGCTCAACGAGCAAAACCATTTCATATGTCGCCGACTTCCTTTCACCTCCTCCCGCTGGCCAATGACGCAACATTCTCATGCGAACATTTTATTCTGACGAGGCGACGAAAATAACATGTCAAATTTATAATGCCTACAATTGCGTTTTTATGGCCGTAGCCGACGCGACGCAACGCGACGACAGCGGCAAGAAAAAAGGCAATAATAAAGCTCCGCGTAGTCGTGCCTAGCGTGCCGAAGACCTAATACTCTGATAACCTTCTTCAGCAAAACTAAAGAGAAATAGATGTGATCTCAGATTCATCGGTGGCTTGTGCCATGGCAGAATTCAAATACCCTAGGCCAGGGTATGAATACGAAACGAGTCGAAATCGTTGCCATTGTTCGGCCATAGACTTATTGCCAGATGTGAAAACATGGGGGTGTGGCTCTATAGCGCTAGACGGATAAATGTTTTCCAAAACAGCACACAAACAATTCTTTACGACTTGCTGAACTAATTACAAGAGTTTTTAACGCGCGCCAAATTTAAAAAGAAAATCGAAAAAAAGAGAGAAAAATCTTTTACACAATTTTGCTATTTGCTGCTAGGCGAATGTGTTAAAGTTGAGATGTGGCCCACAAGCGCATCATTTCTCAACGTTTCGCATCATCATCAGAGACATTCACATTCAGATTTTCATTCATCCAAATGCCTGGGTTACGGCTTGTAGGTTTTCCTCGGAAAATCAAAGCCGCTGATAGTCGAATTGAAAAATCGACGCCCCGCCTTGCCATAGCTGCCGGGAGCCGTCACGTTTCGCTAGAGCCAAAGCCGAGACCGAGACCGGCCCAGCCTTCATCGAAGATGATGGCAATTGTTGCAAATAATTTTTTATGCTTAACATTGCCTCGGTGTGCCACGGCTTGGGCCGAGAATCTGTGCGGCGGCTAGAGGGGCCAGAGGCAGAGGCCAAACTTTTGTTTGTTGCCAAAAGTTTTGTTTGTTTGCCAATGGCAGCCAGGGAGCTGCTGCGACTGCCTGCCGTTTCTCATGACTTTCATTTGTTTTGACATCACGTTGCTGCCGCGTAGGCGCGGGGCAGCAACGATGCGGGCAACAGCAGTGCCACAGAGCAGGGCGATGTAATCGGCACATTCGAGCACCCTGGCACGAGTGCGCATAGCATTGAAAATGTTGTGGCAGGAGGCGCGGCATGCATTAAACGCAACTGAAGCTAACAACGAGGTGAGCTACGAAAGTTATGCAAAGAATTTGGGAAACTAACATTTGACTGTATTTGCAACTGAAAAATGTTTCTATTCAACTGACTAACTAAACTTAGTCAATCATTAATTCATTTAAAGCTGTTGACGGATCAACGACTAGTCTAAAGTACAGCAACTGGAAGTTGTTTAGAAACTTTCATCTGCTTTCGGGTCTTCAGCTACAAATGAGATTTTTTCATTGATATTAAATAGCTTCACTTGCTATTAAAGCTAAGCATTCTACACAGCTTAACAAACTTTTAAAACAACTCTCGATTAATCCAAGAAATATCGACGCAGAAGTCATAAAAGCTAAGCTGCACGTCGCTGCCAGTTGCCACTGCCACTTGATGTTTTTGGTCTTTGCTGCTGGTTGTATTGGAACTCTGTTTGCGCTTCACTTTGCCGCTGTTTGGTTATTACGCGTTATTACAACAACAACAACAGCAACTACGGCAACAAAAATAACAGTAAAAGCAACAGCAATGGCCATGCCAATGACTGGGCCAACAGCAGTTGGCCAAAGGCGTGCTATATGTGTGTTGTACAATAATCAGACTGTTTTTAGGAAAATTGGCAAAACGCGCAAAATATTTGTGGAGCGGTTAAAGTAGAAGCAGCTAATGCCATCGTAGCCCCAGCAGGTCTTCGTTTTGCCAGCGGCGCTTTTGCATTTTTCATAACGTACACTGACTCACCAAGTGCCAATAAAAATGTTAAGTATCTTTGCACTGTTGACATTCCAGAGGACGCGCACATAACGCACGGCGCAAATGCCTAGATAAATGCGCCAGATACTCTCCGAGGCGCATAAATTAACCAGCAGATTTAAGCGCCCAGGCATTTTTGACAATTCCGATGAGGCGTCAGAGTGCGTCGACATAGTTTCGTGCGCCGCGAGGCACAGAGAATTTCTATTAGGCCCAAGCACCCATTTAGCGTGCGTATCTGACAGATACTTTAAGCCTTAATCAAACGCATCTCATCAAGGTGGCCCCCAGTCTGTAACTGTAATGAGTTTTAGTTGCTCGTTGGGCGTTGGGTGGAGGGGACAACATGCTCATAGCAAAGAGTCAAGGACGCATACACATATCGCTCATAAATAGATATAGCCGTATATTTAGTTATGTACATATTAAGCATGCAAGGTGGCCAAAGGATGCGGATGCGCCCTAAATATATATATATATATATATATATAACATATATACAGCTGGTGTAGCTCTCCGAAGCGCTTACTAAATATTTACAGATTAATTCAACGAGTATGTAAATGAGCGTTACGCTTCCACGCATTTTTACAAAGTCTTACACTCGAAATTTACATTTGCACAAATTTTCTGCATTATTATTTTCTATTATTATCTTTTATTATTATTTTTTTTGTTTTCCTTCTTTTTGCGCTCGCACTTAATTTGCAGTCGACGCTGTTTTCTAATTAAAATTGACTGCAAAGCGAGTTTTCGCATTGGTTATTCGGTTTGCTGTAACACTCACCCGCTTGCCCCGCTTGCCGCGTGGTCCTTTCTCGCCCGGCGGTCCGGCCGGTCCAATGGGTCCCACCTCGCCGGGCTCACCTCGCTCTCCGGGCGGGCCTGTAAATGTTAATATTTGGCATATAAAGCGAATGATTTCAATAGCACAAACAGCACACAGCTCAAACAAAATATACACATACACTTGGAGAAATAGTCGTGGTTTTTAATTGATAAACATAAAAATGTGTTTTGTAGATCAAAAATATTTTTTTAAAAATACCTAAAAATGTCGAAATATTGTTAGAATTATAATGTGAAATCTATTTATATATATTTATATCGGAAAAATGTATATTTGCTAAATATTTAAAATAAAAGTAAATACAATTTCATACAAGGGCTCATAATGCTCTTGTATAAACATATATAAATATATAAAAAAATACTCAATATTTCTTTATATATTTTTAAATAATTTAGAAATGCTCAACAATTACTCAAGTGTATTACGCAGTCGTGCATACCAGCTTGCAACGTTCATATTTGACTTTTCTCACTTTTCTTGTCATGTTTTTCTATGTTATTCATCTGCATATATATAACAATTTAAGTTAATCTTTGCACACTTTTTTTTAAGTGTACAACTTTATTGACGCTGAAACGCGTTGCGACAAGTGTGGTGCAAATAGGAGGCGGGGCTGTGACGCAGCTTTGTAATTACACCCGTTATTATCATCGCTCGATGGACTGTCACCGTTCATCTGTCAGTCAACAAGCGTTTGATGGGTTTTCGGTCAGCAATTTGTGGGGCTGCCGCTGTTGCTGCTGCTGCTGGCTATGATAAGCAACTATTGCTGCTGCTTTTGATGGCTCTCGGTTTTAGTTGAAAATGCAAATTGTTTATTTGCTAAAAAATAAAACGCCCAAAAGCCAACAGCAGCTCGTCCGACAGCAGCTCGTTCTATGCTAATGAAGCGTATGGCTTTCGAGTAACTTGACCCACTTGACAACGCACAGAGTTGCCGCTGCTGTTATTTATGCAGCAATTGCAGTTTTCTGTCAAAGATGCGACAGGGAAAATAATCAATAGGCATTTAGCAAGTGAAATTGTGGACAGCTTTGCACAGTTATTCAATTAGTGGTTTGCATTTGGTTAAGCCAAGGAGTGAAACACTTGAAGCCTATAAATCTGTCTGCATGCCACCAACTTTGTGCCACTGTGCAGCGAGAGGCAACGACGTGACGACCTGTTTAGTTAAAATAATGAGAAATAGTTTTTTTTTGGCTAAAGCCATTAAATGTGACCATTTATACAGCCCACACAGACAGGCCGATAAATAGGAGTAACACACACACAAAGGCGCACTCACACACACATGTATGCATACAGCATTCATATCATAGATAAATCCAATTGTGTGCCTTGTCAAAATGTGCATGTGTGTGTCTGTGTGTGTGTGTGTGTTTGTATGAAGAGATATAGAAAATTTATTAAGTTCGTAAAATTGCTTTTAGGGCGGGATTTGGGTCGTTGAGTGGCCAGGACTCTCGCCTCCTGGTCAGTGCGCATTAATTTGACTGCCTACTGTCTGGCTGGCATTTGGTTTATGGCTGCTCTGCCTCTGTCGTCTGTTGTTTATTTAGAATGTATATTTTGCTGGTCCTCTTTGTTTTGGGCTTGGACTCGGACTCGGTAAGTATTTATGGCGGCATAATTTAACGTTAAGCATTTTAGGCGACAATTTCAGCCATAATCAAAACTATTGCCAACAGCCCGACGACAGCTTGGTCCAGCTCCGCGGGGCCTGAAGTGGATTTATGGAGTCCAGGATATTGGATTGTGTGTTGGGCTCGCTTGACTTTACCATTTTCATTTTCTCTGTTTGCTGTTATTCCCTTGGTGGCTTTTTCAGCAAAAAGGCAATGCAGATGAAGTGCAAATGATAAGTTTTAATTTCGCAGACAAAGCAAAGCAAAGCGGAGCTTGCCCGGATGAAATGCAATCAAAATATAAACTCAAATGAAATTCAAATAAATCAGCAAATAAATTGAAAATTTTGATATTACATTTGGGACTGGAGCAGCTGATGCTGCTGGTGCTGCTATTGCTGCCGCTGCTGCCTTTGCTGCTGCCAGCATTTCCTGCTCTCATCTGGAGACGCAAAATACAAATGACACATTAAATTGCCGAAACGTCTCTCAGGTCCAGCCCTGCGCCTGCCCACACATAAAGCACAAGTCAGCTTAACTAATTACGACAACGATAAGATAAGCAGTCAACAGGGAAAATCAGAGAATCAGAGACAGACGTGGCGACCAGCTGAAAGAATGCCAAATACAAATGACATTCAATTTATTCAAATCAAGCCCAAATGACTGAAGCCGGTGCCAGCAGCAGCAGCCAGAGCCAGAGCCAGAGCCAGAAGCAGACCCTGACATGTCCCATGAGCTGGCGACTCGATTCTGACGCTGATTTCGTAAAATAAATTGCAATTTCATGTCCATCAACGCACAGCCCAGCGCACTCATAGAACTGTCCCCGGCGCGGGAAGAGGAAAGCCATGCACAAGGGTCTGCTCTGGCTATTGCTATTGCTTGCTGACTGTCGGCAACTGTGGCTATCGCAGCAGCAGATCTTGTTTTAAACTAGCTACAAATCCCAAAAAACAATGCGCGCAACATTAACGCAACTGCAACGAACAACTGTGACAACATCAACAACAACATCGTGTTGATGCTCTGATAAGGCAAGTGGGAGGCTGCGCCGCGCTGCGGGTCGCGGCAAGCGCTTAATCGATAGCTTGTTAGGGGTCTTCTAACGATAGAAAATTTAATCTTGGCTTCATTAGTTGAGAACATGGAAAATCCAGATGCCTAATGGCGCCTGTCAACTCTTGCGCAATGGGCAATAGTTGTCAATGTAATTTATAAGGCTAAATTGATAATAATTATAGCACAGACCAACATGACTTGGTAGGCAAGAAACAGACTATAGTTTCGCCAGCTCTTAATAGCCAGAAAAAATCCTTAGAATATTGGCTAAGATATTTTATTAGACTCTCTTTGACCTGTGTAGTTAGGTATTTATATAAATATTATCTATCTGAAGCACACTCTAAGCTACAATAACAATATTGTTCTGGCTCTGGCATGTGCCTCGTAAATCTGTATAAGAATCTATTTATGATTTGTTCAACAGACTGAAATACATAAAGGAATGTTTGAAAAGATACATTGGATCTGGTGCTATGCTTCAGCTCTATTGGGCCTTTAAAGGATTACTAGAGTTGGGTTTTTATTTGCCCAACAAAACAAGAACTTATTTTCTTTATAGCCATGCACTTAGCTGACATTTACGACTCAACTCTTATGAATTCGTGGTCTAATGCATGACTATTGTTTATTTATTGCGCACACTGAAGACCCCTAATAAAACAATTGGTCAGAGAGCAACCGAGTCGGGGCAAAGGTAATTACACGAACTCTTGCCACATGCTGCATGCTGCAGACTGATGCTGCATGCTACACTGGCGATGCGTGCGTTGAACGTGGAACGTGGCGCGAGTAGCGATGCTAATGAGCCGCTAAAAGCAACATAAATGACATAAAGTTGCGTTTTTACGACTGCGGTAAGTGTTTCAAGCTGTCCGTCCGGGTCTACAAATTTTTATGACAAACGCCGTATTCGAATTTGGATTTGGATTCCCGAGCGTTTCAACTATTCGGGCAGCCGCCCGCTTGGGTTATTTTCGTTTATTAAAATCGCATAAAGTGCAGAAATATGTTAGGCTAGATCGTAAAAGCCCCGACCAAATGGAAATTGTACTATTGTGGGCGTGTAGGCGGTAGGCGGTAAGCGGTAGACCGGCAGGGGCTGGACAGCAGACGGAACGAGTAGGCGTCTGCGCTCGACGAATTGTGGGGCATTTAATTGACGTCGACGTCAAAACTTTGCGGCATGTGGCAGCACACAAAACACAAAGGTCGTAAATGTTATCGCAAAATACGGCAGGCAAACAAATTTCCAAATGTGGATGAAAAACAACAAAAAACAGAGAGAAAAACACAACAACTAAAAAAGAAAACTAAATGTGTGCGAGAATATTTCAAAAATGTGTGCGGCTATAAAAACAGCAACGAACGGAAATGCATGCAGCGCGTTTGAAGCAATGCATTTTGGTATTTGATTTACATTTTAACGAGCTGCTTTTCACACCAAAAGCCCGAAAATCAAAATTCAAAATGCGCTCTAATGGGACAGCGCTAGTGAATGACTCAATTAGGCTGGGGCCAGGGGCCGAACATGCCACGCACACGCACACTCACACACACATTATTCCCATAGACGGCTGGCAATAAATTAAACAACCCGCAGATGAGCAGCCAATGGCAGCAGCCGCGTGGCAACACTTGAAAAATCCATCGAATCGATCGATTCCCAAACATCAATAAGCTGCGGTTAACGTAGTTTACGACTAGTCTCCATGTATATATAAATATATATGTGTATATCTGTAACTCTGAGAGTTAAGTGGCTTTCAAACGTATACAAACTGGCTCGCCAGCTGCCTCTAGAGATTTTATTTTCCGTTTGCCTCTATGACACTTACCAGGTGGTCCAGGCGGTCCCGGTGGACCCTCGATGATGCCCGTTGGGAACTCGTCACCCTTGATGGTTGTGGTTAGTCCGCGATCGCCGCGATCGCCTTTGTCACCCTGTAAACGAGAAGAGAAGCATCAGCAAGCGCATTAGTGAGTCATAGGGCTGCATCTGTATTGATGCCTGTCTGTTGGAAAATTAAGTGGAAATGGCAAAAGGAAAAAGGTGATGCGCACACACAAGCACGCACACACATGAAAGGCAGAGGGAATGAGGGAAAGAGGGGCGCTTAATACATAAATAAACGATAAATAATGTGGAAAACCGAGACAAAGACAATGGGAAAATCGGAAAAACAAAGCCAGACAGCACACAGACACACACGCAATATCACACACACACCCACACACACACAGATACGTGAGGACGACTCATTCGTAGTCACTTAAGACGTCACAATGTTTATCCAACAGATACAAATAGTGCATTAATCCTTGTGACATCTTTGTTTTACTTATGAATCGTTTCCAATCCCTATCTTTCCCCTACTCGGTCTCTCGGTGTCTTTGTTTTGTGTGAATCACTCACCTTTGTGCCAGGTGCTCCGGGCACACCGGGCGGTCCAATCGGGCCTGGCTGTCCGGCCTCGCCCTGCAAGCCCTGCGGTCCAGTTTCGCCTGGTGGTCCACGCTCACCCGGCACGCCCGAAGTGCCGGGTTCGCCCGGGGGTCCCGGCGGACCAGGCTCGCCCGGCTCGCCCTAGTTGATTGAAAAATATGTTTATTAGTTTATCCAAGAACTGAAAGATCTTCCGCATAAGTAGAGAGGCACGTGCATTAAACAAAGGTGAAACCGCATAGTAGGAGGCATGCATTACATAGAAAGGATATTAGCCAAGGACCACAGAACTTACCTTCAGCTGTATGACCGTCGAAGCGGATACGTTAACGCCCGCTTCTTGCAAGTCCTTACAACACACACACACACATATAAAAGGATTAAACGCAACGTATTAAAAAGTAAAAATAAATGTTAAATTGATTAATGAAAATAGAAATATAGAAAAAAAATATAAACTTTAGCTGCTGCAAAGCAAAATGTAGCTAATTAAATGAAAATATTTATAGTAAAAAAAAAAATGTTATTGTATATAATATATAGAATATATTATAGAAATAATAAATAAAATTTTAGTTTCAAAGTAAATAGCAAAAAGTTGTCCAATAAAATGAAATGTTTCTCATAGAAGAATTACTAATAACCAAGTTAATATGGATCGAAAATAACTCGACTGTGTTCGTTTGCTCCACTTGAAGAATTTTCAATAATATTTCAATATTAAATAAATTAAATGTGACATTTAAATAAAGAATATTTGATAAATAAATAATATACATAAAATATTGATTGCATTTGAAATCAATAAGCAAAAGCCGAGCTTGTGGCTGGCCATGATATAGGAGTATGTAAATTATACGGCTTTGCATAAAATAAACAAGAAGCTGCCAAGATGGCATGACGATAAAAATGCCATTGCGACGCTTAAAACAGCAAAAGGATACGCAATAAAGGATGGCTGTCTGGTATTTCAATGCAACAAAATGACTAAGCAGAAACTATGCAGAAGTAGCTACAAATTTATGGTGCAGTTTAAACCAAAGAGCTGAGTCAAGTTAAAAGCATTACGAACAACAATGAGCAGTATAATAAACAAGTACAAATACAAATACAAAACTACGACTATAACTACAACAACTACAACAACTACATCTACAAGGACACAGACAAGTGCAGTGGACAACAAGTTGCAAATATTTGCAACGCTCTGTCCGACTGCTGTTTGTCCTGAGATATGGCCATGGCCACGCCAAGCAGCAGCTACTGTGGGTGGCCGGTGGCAGGTGGTCTAGGGTTACGCTCTATGGGTGGGTAGGGGGACTGGCTGCCAGATCTAGTATACGACAGTTGAAACGTATTTATGGCTGAGAAATACCTTAACAGCTACAATTTCCGCATAGCCCAGGGTGCCGCCATGCAGCGTTGTCACCGATCTCTTGAGGCCCTGGTAAAATGCAGAGAAAGCAGAGCAGAGCAGAGCGTTTTGGTTAGAGATTTGCAGAAAGAGGAAAAAAACACAATTCTTTTGAATAACATTTCGGAATTTGAAGTTTCCAATTTCGTATGCAGATTTGCAGCAGCCGATTTGAGCGAATCCGCGCTTTGCACTTACCTTCACCGTTTGGAAGACATCCACGCCCGGATGGCCAGTGTCGCCCTTTTGGCCCTTGTCGCCGGGCTTGCCAGATGCGCCCTTCTCGCCGCTGATGCCATTGAGACCCTGCACAAAAAATTGAGCACTTGCCATAGAGAGAGAGATTTCATTCGGGTCTCCATTGAGCACTTACCGCCTCGCCTTTGTCGCCGGGATCGCCCTTCTTGCCGCGCTTCCCTCGCTTGCCGGGCGGTCCAGGTGGACCGGGTGGACCTGCAATTGAAATGCAATTTCGTTGTCAGTGGCGAATTGGTAAAGTTTTCATTTGCTACTTTTTCCTTAAGTTAACTGCAAAAGGCGACGTCAGCTTGTGTCTTAAGGTCAACCGATTCCGCCTCATTAGATGCGCTCCCGCCTTTGCCGCTGACCGCAGCTTGCGCCGAGTGACACAGCGCATTCTGAGGAGTGCCGCCACTTTTTAAATTTCTTTTCATTTCTGCACCGTTTTTTGCGCATTTTGCCCGCAACTTGTGCAAATTCATTTAGCTGAAAAATGACTTTCGCTGCAGCACCAAGAAGAAGGACAAAAGTGGCCAAAGGGCAAAACAGAAACTGTGCACAAAATATTTATAACCACTTTGGCTGCTATTATTTCAGCGCTGTGGAAAACTTTATCTGCTGCTGCCGCTGCCAGTGCCGCAGGATGCACCAAGGAGCAACAGTGCTGCCTTCCAAACAGGACAAAAACTCGACTCGATGCTTTTCAATTATTTCGCATGCAATTTTCCGGAGCATAAAATTTCAGTCAGCGAGCGTGCTTTATAGCTACTACTGGCAATTATTCTTATTAGAGCCGACGTTCAAGATACTAGCTGATGCTGCTGCTGCTGGTGCCGCTGTGTTGTTGCCTTTAGTTAAGCCAACTGTCCTTTGCCGTTGCCTGGAGACAGGAAATTAACACCTACATAAAGGCCAAGGCAAAGATGCTAGCAATGAAATGAATGTCTGGTCGCGTCCCTGCCAAGCGCAAATGAAGTAGGTGTGAAAATATTTAATTAAAATAACAGCCAGCCAACAAACATGATAACAAAAGCACCCAAAAAAATCGAGAAAAACGAAAATAATAATAACAAAAGCAACAGGAAACACGCGCCGTTTTCCCATACTCTTCTTTCTTTCTTTTTTCCCAGAGCAGACCTTTCGGCTGCTGTTTAATAATTGTTGTAATTAAGTAATTCCGCTTCTAGCTGCTCTCAGTGAGAAAAAACGAGTCCGAAAATGAAAACGAATACGAAAAGGTGCAAGTGAATCTATAAAGAAAAACTCCAAAGGCAAAGGAAGCTGCCTTTAATACAGGAAACGCCAGCAAACAATTTAAATTCATTTCGCGCCAAAATGGCGCCGCAAACTACCAAAGTGAAAAAAGGCCCGAACCGAAACGTACCGGCACGCGTCGCTGTTTAAATGTGGGCGTCTAAATGTGTGTGTGTGTGGGTGTGGCTGATTGTGTAGGTGCGATGTGAGCGGCCACAGGCAGACGCAGAACAGCCAGCATGACTCCAGCAACGGAACAACGCCCCTCAAATGCAGCCAGCTCATTTAATTAAAAAAAGATTTCATTTGCCTTGCCTCACAGTGGGCCGAAAGCAAGCTTTGAGTACGCTTCGAAGAGGGCAAATGCTATGAAATTAGGTGCTATAATAAGCTATTGCCAACAGGTGAGAATTGATCTAGGCAAATTACAAAGAGACCCGGCTGACATAGCAGATCCAAATATGTTGCCTAAACAGCTGCAATATATTATAATCTAAGCTAAATAAAGGCAAACTTAAGCTTGACTTTAATTTAAAATTAAGTGACAGCAACTTTGCTCAAGATCTCCTGGCATAGTTGACGCATTGAGCAGAAACTTTGATGCGTTTATCGTAATGCAGTGCATAAGTTATAGCAAAAGTTTTCATAAATTACGAGTTAATAAATCGCTGGCGTTTGCACACTGTGCCTTGCCTGGTAGCTAAGTAAAAATTATGCGCACACTGTGCAGCACTTGCCAAGTAATAAAAGCTAACCAATTAAGCGTGGCTAAGACTCAGGCACAGCTTGAAACAATGGACGGTCATTGCCTGGTTGCTTAGCCAGCGCTGAGGTACACTTGAGGCAACTTTGCTAACATGGCCAACTGGGGCATCAAGTGTCGTGTCGTAAGCCAAAGCCAAACGGAAGTGCCATAGAGCCAAAAAAAATAAAGAAAGAAAGAAGCAGAAGAAGTCGACTTAACAATGCCATCGGAAGCGAGCAGAACAAAAGCAAATGGGGCAGCAGCATCAGCAGCAGCACAAAAAAAGTTAAAATTGCGCTTAATCTAATAACAACATAATAATCATAATCATAATATCGTTTGCCCTCACATGCGTTGCGCTCTTTCCCAGTTGGGTTGCCATTAACGCCGCACTTTTCGTATATATTTTCGTATTATTTTCGCGTTGATGGCGGCAACGGTTGCCGCCATTTTGGCTAACAGTTTGTAGTCTGTTAATGCTGTTTGTTGTCGTCGTCGTCGTCGTTGTTGTTGTTGTTGTTGTTGCTGCCTAATGCGCTAAGAAATCCCATTGACATGGCCTAAGAATGAGAGAAATTCGATGCTAGGTGGGTTTGCTTGTAAGCGCGCGCGCTGGCAGATAAAGTTCTTAAGTCAAAACTTGGTTTATTTTCCCACTCGAGCTCGAGCCCTACTTGTACTTGATAATAATCTAGATAATGATGATAATGTGTAACACTGCTGTTGCTGATAATGATGATGATGGCAATTGAAGGCCCTCAATGAGCGCGTGATGCAAGTTACACACACACGCACAACATCCATAAATCCATATCGAGCTGTTGTCCTCGCTTGCTCAACCCAACTTAACCAACCCATCTCGAGTCGACAGCAAACAGCCCAGTAGACTAAAGTGGCATTTACTCCAAAGCCATTGCTGCTGCAGTAGCTCAGCTCACCCTCGCTGTTGTTGCTGTAGGATGAGCGTTGTCTATGGCTGGGGCTGCTTTCAGTTGAGCTTTGGCTCAACTGCCAGAGCGGAAAAAAGGAATTATGTCAAGTTGTGCGCGTAATAAATACTTGGAATCGTTTACGTGCGTACAACGCCACTGCGACACGTACAACAAACAAGAGCTAAACAAGCCGGCAAACAGTCGCATAGACATACAACCAGATAGTTAGACGGGCAGACGGACGGACAGCGAGTGCGACAGTTGAGTGGAGGCAATTGACGCTCAACGACCCAGCCGGGGCATTTGCTGCATAGGCAAACGATCAACAGGAAAGCAGGCAGGAAAGCCTAATTTAGTGTTTAGCTAATGGTAAACAACACTGCATATCCTGCGGATCCTTTGAAGCTCCCAGGAGATTGCAGACATTTTCAAAACCTACTCAAAAAAGTTGAATTTTAAATTTAAATTCCCCGAGCGTTGCATTAATGCTATTCAGTTTGGTTTCTTTAACTAGGACGATGTGTGTATATAAATTTCATAGCATATAGAGTCGAACTATTGTGTGTGCCTGTGTGTATCAACAATCGAGTCTCATTCGACGTGCAATGCAGTCAAGCGTTAAATCACAAGGCGGTGTCTAGAGTTGATGATTGGTTTTTGGCTGGGAATCTGTTGCCTTTTACGGATTGGCAGTCATGTTGTTTGTACTTTGCCAGCTTGATTGCAGCAGCTCAATAGGTGTGTGTGTGTGTGCGTGAATTACACACATGTTTGGCTAATGCGCCATAAGTTTTAAGTCAGTGAAGCAAAACTTTGGCTTAGCAAGCATCTGTTTAATGAGTTCGAAACCTTGGCAAGGCACAACGTTCATTACCCACGCCCAAAACTAGCTGCTTTGCATATATACTTAAGCCGCAGCTGTCTGTGCACTTTCGCCTGGCCATACGACATCCTGTCAAGGACGTCTGCGTGCAAAAATTAACTCGAAATGCAAACATCGCTGGCAAACTTTTCGCTTGTGTCGTGTCGCGCACGACATTTGCTGCCAAGGCGCATCCTACGAAAATCCTATGAGAGCAGAAAAGAAATAAGCTTCTTCAACATATGAATATGCTCAGTTGATTTGTTTTGCGCACTGTCGAATATAACTGAGACAACTTGCTCGTTCCTGTGCCCCACGACTGCTCCTTTAACCTTAGCCTTAGTCAGCCGGCAGTCAGTCAGCGAGGACACTTGATTTAATCTTGTTTTTGTTAGCTGGCTGCTATCTTCAATAAATGCATTTGCGTACGTAGCAGCAGTAACGCGAGCAACAACAATGTAACTTCTATAATAAAGCATAGCAGATGCCGATGCAGCTGCTGTGTCGCCATGCAAACACCGAAACTTCTACGGTGCGCATTCATGTCCTTGTCCTTGTACTTTGCCCTTGTCGCCAGCGTCTCTCTGTCTGTCTCTCGCTCTCAATTTCATGAAATGCGATACTTTGCTACAAGAGATAATTCTTGTCGTTTGCTTGACTAAAGTCTGTCTGCTTTTTTGCCAACGATATTCTGTTACGGTCTCTGTCTCAAGTTGTTGCTGCTTTTGCTACTGTTTCACACACACACAGACGCACGGGGAACAACTATGCGTATGCGTAACGTGGAACTGTGTACTCAGCTCTGTTACAACCAGAAAATCTATGTTTATGCACATGTTGGCTGCGACAGTAGAAACCGGCAACAGCCGGCCGAACAGGTTAAGGTTCGCTTCACACTGATTTATGGAAGCTCATTAAAAAGTAAATAAAAAAACACACAAAAAAACCCGTTTTAGCTCTTGTTAATACACATAGGCAGAGGCAGGCACTGATAATGCATTGGCCATAAATCAGTTGTCAGTTGTAGCTGTGTCATGTCCATTGGCTAATTAAAAGGATATCTCAGCAGCACTTAATTAACGTAATAGCCAAATTGCAGCTTACACTAATAGCTCTTATGCGATGGCTGCTTGCATCCATGTGGCAAGTTGCTCATAATAATGACAACAAGATTGTCTCTACGGATCCAATTAGTGCATATGCTTGAGTACAATGCTGTCTTAGCCAAGTTATATGAGCGCTTCGGTGACTGCTTGAGTGGGGACAGATAATTATGAACAGGACACGACTCTGCTTGCTCCTGGCTTAAGCACAAACAGCCTGTGGGCGCCATTGTTGTCGAGTCTGATGACTGCTCTGCTGCAGTGAACAGAATTATGGTGTGCTTCCAATAAGTTTACATTATCAATGAAATAACACA